AAAACAAACAAACAAAAACAAAACAAAACACAAGACGGACGGAGCAGCTGAGACGCGGTGCGCAGCCGAGCAGCGCACTTCACGCACGTTAATGCAAGACATATAACTTCCTTTATGTGGAAATATGCTCAATATTTTAAAGCTGTTTTGTTTTCTGAGCATTTCTTTGTCAAAATAACTTATTATTGTTGGGATGGAGCCAAAAGGTAGTGCAACATTTGCCATAAACAATGTATCAGGTAGAGTATTGTTGGAAGAAATACTACATTAATTAATTAATTAAGGGTTAACAAAGCAAACATTGGACATCCCTAAATGGAAACACAAATTAAAAAGTCTTTCACATCTTTCCTTTAGCAGAGAATCTTAATGAGGATTTCTTTTGATTTCATCAGAAACTAGAATCATGGTTTCAGATGTCTAAAACGTGCTCTGTGACTACACATCACCCTCTGATCCATAGAACATGTCTGCTTAGCTCTCCTGTTTACTAAGGTAAAGGTTAACTCATCTATTTTTACTTATTTTGTATTTATTAGTTTATTCCACTCATGGCAATTATAAAACAAAACATGTACACTTTACGCAATGTTTATAGCCCATGATGGAAAAGAACAGGGAGAAGAAAATCTTATTTTACAGGCCCCTTACTCATGAAAAAAAAGCCACAGCTGCTTAAAAATACAGAAACATGAAACCAAAATCAAAAGTCAACATAACAATCTTCTGTACCTTCAGCAACACGGGTTACCTGACATCTTTATTCTGTCTAATTTGTATTTATTTATACATTTTATAAAACCTAAAGATGTTCTTACAGCCCTTTAAAGGTGACCTATCATGCAAAATGCACTTTTGTACGTCTTTTATACATGAATGTGTCCCGGGTGTTCCAGGGAACTCACCAAGTGTCAGAAAACACAACCCTCTCTATTTTCCTCAGTACCCAAATATCTAAAAACGGGGCTGCAACGGATCTGATACAGACTGATCCAGATTTGAACACTTCTATGACGTCACAGAAGTGGCGCTACGGCTATTGGGCCAACTCCACCAATCAGGAGGAGACAGCCACGGACATTGCTGTTCGAAAGCGCTGGAGACGCTGTAGTACATATGCCAGGCCTGTAGATGGTGCTGTTCTCACAGAATCAGCCCATGCAAAGACAGTGTTAAATTGAGCGAAATGAGGAATGGCTAAAATGCATGATCTGTTTGGTATTTTGAAAAATAAAAAGTATAAATATGCCTTATATATGTATGGTCCTACACTATATTATTCAAATATAGCATGATAGGTCCACTTTAAATAATTTGGTAATGAATTCCACAGTTTAACGCCAACTACAGAGATACACAGCTGCTTTAAGGTAGTCTGTGCAAAAAGTTACATTTCCATCCAAGTTGTTCATCCTCTGAAGTTAAAACAAATTTGTTTTGTATATTTTCTGGCAGTATGGTATTTTTTGCTTAATGCATAACTAAAGAAGTCTGTAATTCAATTCAATTCAATCTTTACATTTTAACAGCCTCGACTCAATAAACAGTTAATTTGTGTGTTCTCGGGATGTGCATTATGCAAAATGCTCACTGCTTTTTTCTGTAGTGTCAATAAAGGTTTTAAATTACTCATATATAATGGATTACAAAGGGAACCAAGATGAAGAAAATAGATATGAGGCTTCAATCTCAGATAATGTAGTCTTACCAGTTTCTCTTCATCCAGACACAGACCCACCACGGCCCCCCCACTGCCGGGTAACTTCACCGCCGATCCAAACTGCAATGAGCAGTAAAACTTCATGAATGCATAAACAGAAAAACACTCCACACAGATGGAGATGGATACAAGTGTGAATTAATAAATAATGCTTGCTCTTAGCAGGGGGAAGAACATTTCAGTACCGACCTGCCTCGCCAGCTGAACCATCTTCAGGTTCCCCGGACCCAGACAGTCATTAGTGTACACAGACCTGTGGGATATGTTGTTACTGTAGCTAAGAGTGTACCTGTAGAACCTTCTGCCTAATGCCTAACATCAAAATATACTATTTACTTCCGCAGCTCAAAGTTCTGGTCCATCAGTTGAGCCAGACGCCTCCAGTCTCTGTCCTGTAGAGCCATCCTGAGGAGAGAACAATATTGAATCAGCTTCACATCTAATGGTCCCATCTCTGAAATGTCACAACATAGCCAAAAACAAAACACTTCTACAGTATTTCACACAACAAGTCAAGGAATCCATCGGTTCTCTGTCCGTCCGTCCCTTTGTCCGTCCATCTTCAACCGCTTATCCAGAGTCTGGTTATGGAGGAAGCAGTTCCAGCAGTGAGTCCCTTTCCCCGGCCACATCAACCAGCTCTGACTGGGGGATTCCAAGGCACTCCTCGGCCAGCGTGGAGATATAGTCCCTCCACCTGGTCTTAGGTCTACCCCTCTGTTTCATCCCAGCTGGACGTGCTCGAAACGTCGGCCTGGTGGCATCCTTACTAGGCTCTACTCCGTGTTCCTCCCAGATTATTTAAATTCTCACTTATCCCTAAGGGAGATGTCAGCCACCCCTCGTTCTTTAATCATAGGTGAGAGTAGGAACAAAGAGCGGTAGATTGAGAGCTCCGCCTTCTGGCTCAGAACTATGCGGTAAAGTGACTGCAATACTGCTTCCGATTCTCCTGCCCATCTCACCCACCATCGTCCCCAACAGATACTTGAACTCCTTCATTTGAAGTAAGGGCTCGTTCCCTACTTAGATTTAGGGTTCAGGAATCCCATAGCCATTTCACGACAGTTGAAAAAAAGCAAGACATAATTGTAGTCAGGCTTTTGCTGTGAGATGTTTTAACCAAACCTCCAGTGCTTTTTATTGCATACATTCTTGATTGACAATCCACTTCAAAGTACTCAAACCAACCTTGCTTGATCGGTGAGCTCAGCAAAACTCTTCATGGCCTCGACAACCAGAGGCTCCCCTGTGGAAAGACAAAGCAGCATGAAAGTAGTCCAACTAACTATTTCCTTTTAATAAATCCAACATGAACAGAAATATGCACATGAGCTTGCATGTTATTTTTTAAAAGGAACTGAGGGTTTTTGTTCGTCTATAGAAAAACTGAAATGTCTGGCATTACCTACATAGGAAAAGTTAATCCTAATTATACAAGACAGTATGTTCTAAAGGGGTGTGAAAGAGAAACTCCCTCTGGAGGGAACTTTGATATTTTAGCCTTTGCAAACCATTTACATGCACTGAAACCTATATACAGTGATGCAAACACAGGTATGGTGAAAAAAGAGAGAACTATTCGAGGCAGAAAAAATACAGCGTAATATACCATCTGACCTTTGTCAGATGGTATATTACGCTGTATTTTTATAGCCTGCGCTATAATGCTTCAATTAACTGGCTATTCTTTATAATATACTCTGATCAATAGGAGACAGAGATGTTAAGTTATAAATCAAGGGGTTTTATTATTATTTACAGCAGGGGTGGGGAACCTTTTTCCTTTCAATTTTTACAACATCCTCAGAGGGCCGTACAAATGATTGAACTCAACCTCTGCTTAAAAATACTAAAATCACAGCCCATTAATTTGGCCTTTCTTTCATGCTGTGCAAAGAAAAAGCAACCTCTTAATCCAGATATTTTACCATGACTCGCGCATGCATGCACGTGTACGGTTGTGGCATGACCACCTAAACAGAAAGATATGGACACAAGATGTGTGCAAATGTATTTAGTATCCTATCCATGTGAACATGATTTAAGTGGGGGGGACCTAACCTCTTCTAAGATTTTTTTTTAAATGTTGAAGTTAAAAACATCAATCTGGTGCACTTTGAGAGCAACATTGGGAGATCTACAGTATGTATACATCTCAACACCCATATGAAACAGAACTGTAAGCAGATTCTTCCTTTTGGATATTTTCAAATCACTCCCCTTTTAAACTCTATTCTTGTTATTTTTAACAACTTTTTTGTTACTGTCATATAGTATTTTAT